GAGCATACGATAAGTTTCCTATTACTATTGATTCCTACTACTGGGTTTTTGTTCCTAGACCCTAGCGGGGTTCTCTGGGTTGCAGTTCTAGAGGAGCAGTTCGCGGCATCCCGTCATGAGGTGGAGGGAGCTCGTCTCTAGGAAGGCCTCTCGGGCGAGAATCACCACCAAGGCATGGCCCTCGGAGCTCGGCGAGGAGTTGGCTTCAATGGAAGACTTAGCTGCCGCTGCGGAAGTCGCTGCGGCAATTGTGAAGATGAAGGGTAGCTTTCACGAATGCGACTAGGTTTCCTAGGTTGCGTCAGGTGTTCCTAGTTTGTAGGTTTGTGTGCTTTGTCAGTGGGCAAAGTTGTAAGGACTGAATCACCTGCGCATGTAGCTTACTGGTGATCTTATTGCTGGTCTTTTATTTCTATTCGTTTGTGTTGACGTGGCGCTCTCGTTATTTCTTAGCCCGGCATGAGCGGGCTTATGATCTTCGCTTATGAATTGAATTCTCACAACACGAGGACATTGTCTAGGGGTCACGTGTCATGTTGTGTCTCCACAATGTTGCATGGCATAGGCGGTGAGAGTGTGTGTTGGCGGGGGGCCTCACGTATGCTCCCCTCGTAGATTATGATATTGGTCATTCGTGAGAAGCGGGTCAGGACATCTAGAAGGTAAGTGCCTTCAAAATGAACCGCGTGGGTTCTGTGTCCCTAAGTTTATTCTACGCTCTATTTTAGCCAGTTAGGTCTGTTGTCATGTCTTTGCACGTATGCGAATGCGATCGAATAACGAGGAGAGCGACAGGATTGATATCACCGATGTTCGTTCAGGGGTGGATGTTCGCCCTGCTATGGTTGCTCATGTTGAGACGAACCCCCGAGCGCTTGCTTGTGGTGGACTTGTCGTGGTCCCTAGCCATGAACTGGTGAGGGCACTTCTTTATCGCTTGGAGCGGTCGTAGCTGGCATGGATCATCCTCTCGGGTGACCTTGGGTCGACCCTTGCAGGCTCGACGACCTCGGTGGGCTCGCGAACCCCCGAGGATGACTTCTTCATGTCTGGTCCGCTGTAGTTTCTGGCTGGGAGGGCTCAAGTGCTCTGGTGCTTGAGCCCACGTGGCACGACGACGTAGTGGTCGTTGTGTCTCCGCTTCTGGATGTGGTTGCCGCCCTTGATGAAGAAATGGCACGACCTGTCGCCGCGGAAGCATGTTTTGAGGGCAATGCGGTTTGGTTCATTCGGCATGGCGCGTGGTGCACTCAAGGGGGCCGCTTCCTTGGATGCACGTGACTCTGAGAGAAAGCTAACAATTTGTAAAGGCGTGATGGACAGCTAGTCCACCACGTGGGACTAGACCCTAATTTCGGGCTTGGCCTTGCGAGACGTGGCGCCAGGTAGCCACTGAATCACTAACTACGATGTCATGTGGCGGCGGGTGATTTCGTCGCTCGTGCGTGCCCTGACCTACTACATTCTGCTGGTGGTGGAGATGTTGCTTGGGGAGTGGCAATATCATCGGACCTAGGCTTCCCACATAGTTGGCCTGGATAGGGAAGAAGCTGGTGATGGGTGTTAACCCATTGGTGTGAACGATCTCGTGGTTCCCCAAAAGGATGTGGCTGGTTGAGGCCATTCCTTGGGTGAGCTCGCCATAAGCCATGGGCCTCTGGCTTCCTAGGTGGAAGACTTGGGCATGGCCGGTGATGAGAGATGGTACTGGCTCCTCTATGTGGATGAACTCTAGGATGCTGCCACTGAGGGCAGTTTTGAGAGTGTGTCCACCATAGGCCACGGGGTCCAGATCTCTAGAGCGGAGGTCGAGACCGTGGCTGAAGGCAGACATGGGTGCTAGGCCTTCGACGCCAATGAACTCATGGTTTTCATGACGGATGTGGCCGCCATGGGCCATTCCACGATCGAGTCCACTGACGGTGCGAGGAGCCATCGCTTCCTTCTCAATAAACAAGAGTGCGCGACTGTCCCCTACCTGGTGCGCCAACTATCGGTGTTTTATAAACCGAGCTAGTAAATTTATACGATTGTCGCGCTGCTCTAGGAAGACGATGGTAGCATCCAAAGACACAAGGATTTATACTGGTTCAGGCCAGAGCCATACGTCCAGTCTCAGAGATGATCAAGTGCGTGTTCCTCGCTGGAATGCTTTAAAGTTCTTACAATGGTGGGTGCAAGAATGGTAGAAGAGGTAGAAGAGCTAGAGCTAGAAGATGAACTGCCTGAAGGGAAGCTTCAGGAGTCCGGAGTTTGTGAAGAATGTGAAGATGTTTAAGATGATCGAAAGGATGCCCTGGCTGCCCTTATATAGAGTTCGAGGCCAGAGCATGTACAAAGAAGGAGATTCTCCCAACCGATAGGTCGTGAGCCTAAGGGAGGGGCCTAGCTAACTTGGCTTACAAGCTACACCATCTTGCTATGCATGTCCGGACGTGGTTGTCATCATGGTCTTATGGCCACGTCATGGCATGGTGTGGCGTGGTGCTACTGTGCCAACCATGGCAGCACTGTAGGCACGGTGGTGGTTCGCCAACCGTCCTGTGCGATGTGGATTCCGTCATGGCCTTCGTCGTCGTCTCCTGATCTCTCGGGGGTGTCGTACTAGAGTTGGTAGCTGCCTCTGGTCGTCGATCGCCTTGTTTGCTTGTGGAGTCAGTGGCCACGATTCCGAGCCTCGGGGTCGTGGCTCCTGCTGGCTTGATTGGCCTCTAAGTCAAGGTCTTCATCGTGGATCCCATCCCGTAGTGGGTAGGATCATACATATGTCTTGTTGGGCCATATTTGGACGATACTGGCCGCCGCCGCTGGGCAGTGTTGTCTTGTTCGTGTTGCGTGGCGCAGGGATGGCGTCTGACCGGACCGAGATGACCGCTGTCCTCTCGGTCCTTGCGGGGTCAGTGCGGCGTGCCCACTCTTTTCAGAGCAGGCATGCTTGGATGGGCTTGACCTCTCTCCGTTCCTCCTAGGGGTTGGGACGGCGGAGAGGTCGTGAACCCTTATGCGACGTGCGACTAAGGCAGAATGTAGGGGGCGTGGCTGACCCCGTCCTTACCGTCTTGCCTGGTCCGCTTGCATTAGTTATGCCTCGATCATTTGGGCCTTCGCTAGCGGTGTATCATGGGTCAATCGGCCTGCTAACTAATCGTTGCCTTGAGACACCCGGGGATCATAGCCCCGATAGATCTCATTTTAGAGCAATCTAAAATTAATGAAAACATAAATAAAAAGTTATTTACTAATGACAAGATATTGGAAAACTTAAATGCTAAAATGGATAGCTTTATTTATGCTGTTAAGGACTATTTGAGCTTTAATAAAATGTTAGAAACACAATTAACTCAATTAGCAGCTGCTGTCCCGTCCTTCGAACACGATAAGATCCCGGGTAAACTCGAAGAACCCATCAACTTGTTAAGTTGGTCATAAGGAAGTTTGGGATGCCTTCGCTAAGATCGAGCTGCGGTCCACTCTTGGACCCGCTATTCGTGACCAAAAGGGAGATCCTGGCACACGGGTACCATTTGTAAGTCGCGTCTTCCATTTCTTTTTCCATTTGGATGTCTTCTTTTTGCCAATTTTATTTCTTTTTTCTCCTGTTCGAACATATCAACTAAATATGAATGCGAAAAATCCAAACTGACAGATGAATCACAAAAATAAAAATAAAGAATAAAAGCAACACAATATGCTTTGAACTCCTAACCTTTCATTGAAAAAGAAATGTTTCCATCATCAAGCTATTAGTCTAATTTTGATTAAAACAAAACACATATTATTATAACTTAGTTCAGGCGATAGTCCAACTAATCAAGTCCTAAAACTAGATCTTTAGTAGTTTGTTACCGAATATTGTAATATGCATCAGTGCAATCCCTGGTTATGTCATGATGTAAAAACCGAGAGAGGCCTCCTCTCATAATTATCGAACATACCAGACCTTGACATATCGATAACTAATGCCACGTCGACTTGAACTACAGATTTTTTATGTCTTTAAAATAATTTGAACTTGTGCTTAGAAACGTGAGAAAAAGTTCTATCGAGATCGTATTTTAATTTGATACAAACTTAGTTATACATTGTCGTATTATTGTCAACATTAACTTATGTTTTAGATGTCATATAATTGTCACAAAATAAACCATAGCACTCAAATTTTATAGAAAAGAGAAAACACAAATAGTTATGTAGCATTCCCTATCATCGTTTTTATAATCATTTAATATATTTCCCAATGCAACGTATGCATATTTGCTAGTGAATAGAAAAAGTGAAAAAGCCTCGAATCCATCGCTCTCCTTGATATTGGTTGGATGGTGATATTTGACATTCAATAGGCAAGCCTTTCTACATTTGACACTCAATTAGTATATCTTTCGAAATTTAACCCGTGCATAGGATATCTTTGGATATGAGGGATCTCTCTCATTTTCTATTTCTCGTCTTTGCCCAAATTACTTCTGCACAGGAATCCTATCTCACCAACGCAACAATAGTTTACCCAGGTTTTGTAAGTCGGCAAGACGCGTTACCGCGACCGCGATGATTCTTGCCCGCTGGACGCCGACCGCCCTCTGCCGCCACTTGCCGCAGGCGGTGTGATGGCCCTCGGATTGAAAGAATTTACGTTGTTAGGGTTAAATTTCCAAAGGCGTGGGTATTTGAGTATTAAGTGTAGAGAAGGGTGCGAATTGACGGTTAATAAATATATGGAAATTTGTCGCGGATGGCAGGTTACGGCCTGACTTTGGCGAAGGGAAGTAACTGAGAATCCGCATCCATGCCCTGCTTTCCCCATTCGGCGACCGGCGACCAAACACGCGACCCCGTTGAACCCGGCGCCGGCAGCCGCCCGCGCCCGCTTGTTTCCCCACTTCCTTCCTCCTTCCGCTGCAAGCTCCCGCCTCCAACCCCCAAATCCCCCACTCTGCGATAGACCATGCCGGCCGCTACGCTCTAGTCGGCCGCCGCCCCTCCCTCCCCCGCTCCTCGCCGCCATGTCCGTCGCCGCCGTGTCCGCGGACGGGCTCCTCGCGTTGGCCGACGAGGCTGAGCGCCGGTACGACTTCGCCGCCGCGGCCGCTTGCCTCGAATCCGCGCTGCGTCCCCCCCACGCCGCCGCTCTCCTCCCACTCACCGAAGCCCGCGCGCGGCTCCGCCTCGCCTCGCTCCTCCTCGCACCCCGCGGCTCCTCCCGTGGCCCGCGCGCCGGTGCCCCCGCCGCCGCCAAGGCGCACCTCGAGCGCGCGCTGCTCATCCTCTCCCCGCTCCCCTCCGCGCCGCCGCGGCTCAAGCTGTTGGCCCACTCCCACCTCGCGGGCGCCTACGCTGTCCTGGGGGCGATCGCGTCGCAGAAGCACGTTCTCCGCCGCGGCCTAGGCCTCCTGGATTCCGCGTCCGCCTCGGGGCTCCTCCAGCGCGAGCCAGCGCTGCTATGGACCTGCAACTTCCAGGCGCAGCTCGCGTCCGCGCTCACCATTGACGGGGACGCCGCGTCAGCGCTCTCCACCCTGTCCGTGGGGGCATCCGCCGCCGCCGAGCTCGGGAGCCCCCAGCTCGAGCTCTTCTTCGCCGCCTCCGAGCTCCACGTTCACCTCCTCTGCTGGGAGGACAATGCCGCTGTTGAGAACGCCGTCACTCGCACCTCGCTGCTCTGGGACGCACTCGCAGCCGAGCAGGTAGCTGCAGATTAGGGTTCCTTTTAATGCATATAACAGCAAAGATGTGGCCTGATGCGTGTTCCTACCTGTTCATTTGGGTGCAGATGGAGCACTGGGTTGGACTCTTCTTCTACACGCAGCTGCTGCAGACTTTCTACCTGCTCAGGATCTGCGATTACAAGGCTGCCTCACAGCGCATAGAGAGGTTGGATACAGCTGTGAAGAGCGAGATGCAGAGAGGACGGCAAATTAAGGAGCTTGCTAATGATCTCAGCACAGTGGAGAGGACGCTAGGACAGTCCGGGTTGAAGGAGCGGGAGAGGTCGGCATTGTCGCACAAGCAAAGGCAGCTCAAGGCTCAGCTGCGAGCATTGTGTGGCTATGACTCATTGAATGATGTGTTGGATTATGGGGATAAGCTGCTTTTGGCACCACCACTGATGCATGGGGAGTGGCTCCCACGGACGGCAGTGTTTGTGCTCGTAGATCTCATGGTCGTTATGGTAGGTCGCCCGAAAGGGATATTTAAGGAGTGTGGGAAGAGAATAATTTCAGGACTCCGGCTCATCCATGGTATGCATTGCTGAATTCTATCCCATTCAAACTATTTCTTCTAGCACCAACAAATTTTTAGCTAAGAATGCCTGCTACACAATTCTAGATGTGCCAAAGTTGACAGGCGGTCACTAGATAGTTCGCATATATATTGAAGCATGTGCACATCAAAATGAAATGATGTTTCCTATTTGGAGGTGCCAACTAATCCATCCATTCATTTAGAAGACAATTAAATTGGCATTTTCTTCTAAGATTGATTTTTTAAGCTACATATCTTCATTAAGTGTTTACACTTAGCTAGTAATGCTGTAAAAATACTTGTCATTACTTGTTGACGTCCTCGTACTGTGCAAATGTACACACTGCGTATCGCTGTGTTGCCCTTGTGAGCAGTTAAAACTTCCCTCATTTGTACCTATTCACATGCATGTTTCCTTGGTTGATGGATTCCTCACTTGTTTATAGTCGTTTTCCACTACGTCTTCCATAAAAGTGCCTTAGCATTGCAAATTGTTTCATGCCACTATGATCCAGGGAAATAGTAAACCAATTTTCAACAATTACTTCATAATTATACTCCAATGAATAAATTCCTCAATACAGAAAGCTGGCCTATATTAGAATTCATTTTCATCACTTTCCCATGCATGTTGGTAGAGAAGTGGTAGAAGCTGGAATTTGAGATTCTGAGCTCAACATTATGTTCACCAACACATATAGGGTCTTTCTTTGATGGTCATAACCATATTTGGTATGGCGCGCAGCCATCCTTAGAAGGTCCCTGCAGTTATATAAATTTGACCCGTGAACTTGTGTTGCATGACACTCGACATGCATTAGTCAATGCTATGTGAAATTCAACTAGGTGTCGTGTCTTGTTGCCTTGGCCTCACAAAGGAGAGTGCATTTACAAGACTAGTGACCAGACCATGTTTGTTATGGTTTGTTTGAGAGTTGAGACACATGATATAAAGAGGTACAAAGTACGATAAATAAATATTTTAGTTAGAAAAATTACTGTTCTACTTTCCTGAATTGTTATTTTTTGCACTCATCCTCTGTGGGTTAGTTGTTGCAGTGTGACCTTTTTACAGTTATGTCATAGTATTGTTACTATTTGCTCGTATGACGTTCCACCTATGAATCCCTTTTCAGCCCTTAGTTGTCACTTTTAGCATGGTAAGATTCTGTGTAACTGTAGCTTATAATGCTAAAATATGTCAAAGACCAATTGTAACCAGATTGGTCATCGGAATGAAATAAATGACTATGACTGTCTTGCAATATTGATTGTATCTTGGATCTTCCAGAAGTTAGGATCCTGACAGATCTTTTCCTATGCATATAAAGGTGAAAATTCATAGAAACTTGTCTCTTTTCTGTACTTATTGTGGTTTCATATTGTTTTCCACAGATGAACTTGTGAAGCTTGGCATTGTGGATGGTGTGATGGGTAATTATTTCTGATAAGTCCTGTTACTCTTTTTTAGCATCACAACTGTATGCATTGCCTAATGCATCGCCTTGATGGGTTTCTAACATCCTCGTTATTATTTATGGATCCCACCCATTATTTCTTTTTGTGACGTAATGTGAGCTCTGTATGGTTCATGAGAGCTATTTTTTCAATTCGTTTGTTTGTATAGTCTTTTATATGCTATGTGGACTGAACTGGACTACTAAGTACTACTTCCTCTGTTTTATAGAATATAGGACCATGTTGCACTTTTTCACACAAATTAAGTTCTTGAAAAGAAAACAAGAAATGCCTACCCTTATTGGTTGGATCGTTGGTAGTAGTAGTACCATTAGTAAGGATGAAATAAGATAAAAACCTTATTAACTACATTAACCTTGATTTTCATACCTGCTTAATAGATATTGAAAAACAAGCCAAGATGGGAAAGGAGCCCTGTAAATATTGAAGGAGTATGAATGAGCAAATATGCATAGAAATATATCAGTCATAATGAAGCATAATATCTTATGGTTGCCCTTTTTGCAGCCTGCCTTTATTCCACTTGCTAGCTGCTGAACACTAGGTCAGAAAATCAGTAATTGTTACCCAATTTTCACCATTTTATATGTACCCATAGTTACATAGCCATTGTTTTTTTCCTTGAACGACGTAGGAGAGCTGAGTATCATTTCATTAAGAGAATAAAAAAATGTAGGACTATGTCTTTGAATTTTTTTCCATTATGAAACCTTATACTTCTTGGTTCTTTAGTTAAAAACTAACAGAAGTTGTGGATCGCACCCGTTGTTTTATTTCTTTTGATTTTGAACCTTACAGAAAGAATGAATTTAACCAATTTAGTCCTAACTTGTGCACTTTTCCTGTTCCTTCATCGTATATGACTTGAGTGGAGTCAGATTTATTTTCATTATTCAACTACCATTGCTATGCAGAGGCAAATTTGGAACACTCAACAATATGGACAGCAGGGCTGTACTTGATCCTTTTACTTCAGTTTCTGGAAAACAAAGTTGCTGTGGAACTTACAAGGTCAGAATTTGTTGAAGCCCAAGAGGTAAAGACACATGTATATCCATAGTTAAATGTATAAATGTATGCTTGGTAAATGATCATGTCTTTCTGTCAATTAGTTTACTGCAAATTATTGTAAGTCGTTTTGTGATGGGCACCGATCGGGTTGGGGTGACGGCGGGGTGTAGTCGCAGATGAGGGAGGGATGGCTAGGGCAGCAGGGCTGCCACATGGCCATAGGCGGGGAGGGAGGAGGCGTAGGAGGCAGGGGAGCACGAGAGCGAGAGAAGGATTCCTCTATTTTTTGCTTGATCATAACGAGTACATTATCCAGTAGGTTCGACAGCTGTGGTGAACTGGTGATGATGCCGGGAGGTAGAAGCAGTCGTCAAAGAAGATGACGCCATTATCCGTGGACCAAGATCGGGCGTTCGTGTCGTTGTTGATGGTGGTGGCAAAGGCGCGCAACTCTAGGACATCCCTGACTGCCTGTCGATGGTGGTGTTGTCATTGGTGCTGGTGCGGCAGCTGTAGTCGAAGCAGAAGGTGGCGCCTTCGGTAGTGAAGGATGAGGTGAGGGTTATAGTCGTTTTGGTGAGGTCGGGGATGACTAAGGCACATCACTTGTATGCTCTGGCCATCGACATGTCCATTACCATATCCCACGGGTTCTGGAGCTCAACCTTCGTCTTCAGCGGCTCTAGTAGGCCTGCCATGTAGCCGTTGACCTATTGCCACTCGTCGAGGGGGCCTGCCCGTGCCACGTGCGCCAGGAACCTCTCGGTGTAGTTGTCGACAGTCCTTGTCTTGCGCAGGGATGCCAGCACGACAGCAGTGGTGATGATGCTGGGCGGTAGAAGCGGTCGTCCAAGAAAATGACGCCATTCTCCATGGACCATGCTCAGGCGGCCATGTCATTGTTGAAGGCGGTGGCAAAGGTGCTCAACTCTAGGACATCCTTGACTGCTTGTCGGATCTGGGTGAAGTCGCTGGCTCGTGGGCAGACTGTGCTGAAGGCGTTCGGTTGACGCAGTCTACTGGCATTGGTCAAGTTGAAGCGTGGCTGCTACAATTGTTGTAGTGGTAGCGCCTGTTGCTGTGGTGGCGGCGCTGGCGTGGCAACGATGAGTACTGGGACTGGTAGGGCGAGCACCATTTGCAATGCTCGCCCGCTGGGGACGGTGAAGGTGACGGTGCGGTCGCCCTGCTGGAACCATATCTCCAGTGATGCGAAGTTCCAGAGGATGCTACCGAGGTTGGCCATCCATGGCATGCCAAGCACGATGTTGATGTCGACGCTCAGGTCCACTAAGAAGGCGTCAATCTGGAACGTCTCGGTATCGATGTGTTAGGGGCTTGTTGAAGCCGGCTCCTCGGCAGGTAGTCTCATTGCTACTGCCAATGCGTATCGTGATGTCGATGCGGCGCTCCATGAGACCAACTAGGTGAGCGAAGTTGATGTCGATGATGTTATGCATGGCTGGTGTCGACGAGGATGTGCACATCGTGTCCTAGGACGATGCTTGCCAAGAACATGGTGCGTCATCCACGCACACTAGAGTTTTGGGTGATGTCGAAGAGGTGCTTGCACTTGTGACCGCGGGTGAGCTGCTCATCACGGTTCAAGCAGAGTCCCATGCGACGACGTTCTGCCATCTGCTCAGCGGTGAGGCGCTTGGAAGCGCGAGTCGTTGTAGTCGATGGTGTTGTCGCTGGTGCTGGTGCAGTAGCTATAGTCGAAGGAGAAGATTGCGCCTTTGGAGATAGTGTAGGACGAGGTGAGGCATGTACCGGGGTTGTAGTCATTTTGGTGAGGTCAGCAACCACTAAGGCACATCACTTGTATGCCCTGGCCATGGACAAGGCCTTTTCCATATCCCGCTGGTTCTGGAGCTCCACGTCCGTCTTCGGCGGCTCTAGCACGCCTGCCGTGTAGATGTTGACCTACTGCCGCTCGTCGAGGGGGCTTGCCCGTGCCAGGTGCGCTAGGAACCTCTCGGTGTAGTCATCGACAGTCCTCGTCGTGCGCAGGGATGCCAGCTCGACCACGGTGGTGATGATGCTGGGAGGTAGAAGCGGTCGTCAAATAAGATGGCATCATTATCCATGGACCAAGCTCGGGCGGCCGTGTCGTTGATGATGGCGGTGGCAAAGGCGCGCAACTTTAGGACATCCCTGGCTGCCTGTCGGATCTGGGTGAAGACAGTGGCACGTGGGCAGACTGTACCGATGGCGTTTGGCTGACGCGGTCTGGTGGCATTGGTCAGGTTGCAGCGTGGCTGCTACAGTTATTGTAGTGGTAGCGCTTGCTGCTGTGGTGGTTGCGCCTACTGCTATGGCGGCGGCGCTGGCGTGGCAACGATGAGTACTGGGGCTGGTAGGGTGAGCACATTTCCGATGCTTGCCCGCTGGGACGGTGAAGGTGACGGTGAGTGATGCAAAGTTCCAGAGGATGTTGCCGAGGTCGGCCATCCATGGCATGCCAAGGACGATGTCGATGTCAATGCCGAGGTCCACTAGGAAGGTGCCGATCTGGAACGTCTCGGTAGCGATGTGTAGGGGCATGTTGAAGTAGGTTGCTCGGAAGGCAGTCTCATTGTTGCTGCCAATGAGTATTGTGATGTCGATGCGGCGTTCCATGAGACCAACCAGCTGAGCGAAGTTGATGTCGATGATGTTATGCATGTCGCCGGTGTCGACGAGGATGCGCACATAGTGTCCTAGGACGATTCCTGCCAAGAACATGGTGCGCCATCTGCGCACGCCAGAGTTTTGGGTGATGTCGACGAGGTGCTTGCACTTGTGGCCGCGGGTGAACTGCTTGTCACGGTTCAAGCAGAGTCCCATGCGACGACATTCTGCCATCTCCTCGGCAGTGAGGCACTTGGAAGCGCGAGTCGTTGTAGTCGATGGTTGTGTTGTTGCTGGTGCTGGTGCAGCAACTGTAGTCGAAGCAGAACATGGCGTCTTCGGAGGTAGTGGAGGACGAGGTGAGGCACGTACTGGGGTTATCGTTTTGGTGAGGTCAGCGACGACTAAGGCACATCACTTGTATGCCCTGGCCATTGACATGGCCTTTTCCATATCCGTCTTTGATGGCTCTAGCAGGCCTGCCATGTAGATGTTGACCTACTGCCGCTCGTCAAGGGGGCCTACCCGTGCCACGTGTGCCAGGAACCTCTCGGTGTAGTCGTTGATAGTCCTCGTCTTGCGCAGGGAGGCCAGCTCGTCTAGTGGGTTGCACCAAGTTGGGGGCTGAATCGCTCGTTGACGCAACGAGCAAGGTAGCTCCAGCTGGTGACCGCCTTGTCTTGGGCTAGGTAAATGGACCATTGTTGTGCTCCTCCTGTCAGATGAAACGAGGCGTACCAGACCTAGACCGTTTCGTTGTTGGGGGTGCACTGGCCTATGAAGAACTACTTGCGGCGATTGATCCGCGGTAGTGGATCCTCCTTGCCGTCGTACGTTGGGAACAACTTGTGGTAGCGGGGTTGGAGGACCAGGAATGATCCATGTGCTGTTGTCGGGTAAGTGGTGGTGGCAGTGACTTCTTGGGCAGCGGCCTCTGGCTCTTGCGGTGTAACGAATAGATTGTTTGTCACCTGCTCCACAAATATTGGGAATTGCTGAGGGCTTGGAGCTCTCCATCTTGTCCTTGAGGAACGCGCACCTGATGGCTTCCATGGCATGTTTGGTGTCCACCTCAAGGTCCTTGGCCGTGGCATCGCATTCCAGCTTTGCCTTGGCCACAACTGTGGCGTCGGTGTCCTCCTTGTAGTCGGTGGGGCCTCCGTGCTCCATGTTGCTCGGGCGAGTGTCGCCGTTGACAAGGTGCTCCTGCACCCTGTCCATGTGCTTGGTGAGGTCGGTGGAGAAAACCTCGAGCCACACCTTCAGGTCCGCTGGCATGGTCTTGCCATCGTCCGCCATGGATTCTTGGTCTCTGGATACCAGATGTGATCAGCACCAATCGGGTTGGGGGTGACGGCAGGGTGGAGTAGGCCCAGGGGAGGGTGGGGGCGGTGGCAAGGGCAGCACGGCTGCCATGTGGCCATAGACGGGGAGGGGGGAGGCGTAGTGGGCAGGGGAGCATGAGAACGAGGGAAGGATTCCTCTATTTTTTGCTTAATCATAACAAGTACATGATCCGGAAGGTCCTAGGTTCGAGTCGCGGTCTCCTCGCATTGCACAGGCGAGGGTAAGGCTTGCCACTGACACCCTTCCCTAGACCCCGCACAGAGCGGGAGCTCTCTGCACTAGGTACGCCCTTTTTTTATAGCGAGTACATGACCCCTATATTTATAGTCCCTAAGGGACTTGACTTCCAAGCAATCTATAGGTAGAAATGCTAAAAAAGGCAATCTATAGATAGAGAGACCTTATAGATTTGGACTCTTCTTTCGGGGATCGGCCCATGTCAGGTTTCCTAGATTTATGGTATATATGCAGATTATGAAATTTGATGTAATCATATTTGCTCATTGTGATATCTTACAGTTGATCTCATGATCTTCTTGTTGTTAGCTAACTCATTTTCCTTTCAATTGGGCACCTTTCTGTAGGCTTTAGCTCAGATGAAAAACTGGTTTACTCGCTTCCCAACAATTCTTCAAGGTTGTGAAAGCACCATTGAAAATTTAAGGGGACAGTATGCACATTCTGTTGGCTGCTTCGATGAAGCAGCTTTCCACTTCCTTGAAGCAAAAAAGGTACTTTTGGCCGATCTTTTATATACCCTTTCCAGATTGCCAAAGGAATAACATGTATATCTTTCTATATTAGGCGAAGCCTGTTAATGTTTGTTTGCCTGTAATGATCTCAGCTGACAGAGAGTAAATCAATGCAATCGATGTGCGAAGCCTATGCAGCTGTGTCGTACATTTGTAAGGGTGATGCAGAATCGTCTTCACAGGTACAGTAGAGCTTGATAGCTTATCATGCTATGTAGTTTGAACCTATCTACTTCTGATGGTAACTGACATGACTGAATATTACCTGCCTGTTTTATTCTTTAGGCACTAGAATTGGTTGGTCCTGCTTATAGAACAATGGACTCATTTGTTGGTGTGCGAGAGAAGACCTGTATCATTTTTGTTTATGGACTATTACTTATGAGACAGCATAATCCACAAGAAGCACGGTAAGTGTGATGATTTCATAAACTCCATTCTACATAGAGTTATTATTAGTGCTCCAAGCTGCATTTGTGAGCATGAGTATATAAATGTCATTTGGGGCCGCCGTGGGTTACATGGTGACTGGCTGCATGGTAACCAGAAGGCACGCGGTCACCGCGCCCAGATGGTGCCAGCAGTAATCAAGGAGCAGATGGCGCCAGCAGCAATCAAGGAGCAGATGGCGCCAGCAGCAATCAAGGAGCAGCATGCAAGAAGGAAAGAATTACGGGATTTATGGGGAGTTATGGAGTCCTTTTATTTAGCAGGCCAAGTGCCTATATATATCCATGTACCAGCTCTCATGGGGATTAAGCAATATCAAGACAATTCTAATCCCAGTCTCCTTCAACATAGGGCGCAGAGGGAAAAACCTCGCCCCGAATCCAATTCCTCCTAAAATGCTCTAGTCTCCCTCCATGCCGACTTTGCTCGGCCTTCCTCCTGGCAATGGTTATCCCCTCTATCCCCCAAATGAACTAGGGTTCACGACAATAAATGTTTGCCGTGTGATAGATTAGGGCCGAGGTTTCTTCAAGCATATATGATATTTTAGTTAATATTCTGCACTATTTGTTTCCTACTGTTGTTTTGTCAGACTCCCTCCGTTACAAATTATAGTGTACTTTGGCTTTGTCCTCAGCTAAACTTCTCTAACTTTTGATCAAGTTTTTAGAAAAAATATATTGGCATCTACAATTTCAAATAAATGCACTTTCAAATTATATTCCATGTAAAACTTTGATGAAACAAATTTGATGTTGTAGATTTTTTTTTGTATTTTTCTAAACTTGGTCAAAGTTAAAGAAGTTAGAACAAACCCAAAGTGAACGATAATTTGGAATGGAGGGAGTAGCAATTTTATTCACCTTGTGAGCACACAATTAGCATGTTTGTGCATTTGTATTTCATAAATATTTAATGCTTATGTAATACCAGGAACCGCCTTGCAAGTGGTTTGAGAATAGCGCACCAACAGTTGGGTAACATCCAGTTAGTTTCTCAGTATTTGACAATACTGGGCACATTGGCGCTTCAGCTACATGACGCAGGACAGGCCAGAGAGATCCTGAAGTCTTCGTTGACCTTAGCTAAGACGCTATTTGATATTCCAACCCAAATCTGGATCTTGTCAGTATTTACAGGTATGCCATTTAGGCTATGTGGATTTGTTCTCAAACCATGAAAACAATTTTGTAGTACATGGTCTCCTTTTCACTCATGGCATATTCTGGAAATAGAAGTTGATACAAAACGGTTTCTGCTTTTACGACCTGGTTATTAGTCGTCATATGCATGTCTTTAGAGGTTGATGCAAACTGATGTCTGATTTCAGTGTGTTTTATTTCTTTACAAATTATTACAGAGTTATATCGTGAACTGGAAGAGAAGGAAAATGAAATGGAGAACTCTGATTATGAAAGAAAAAAGGAAGATGATCTGCAGAGAAGGCTTTCTGAAGCTTATTCTCACACTTTTCACCAGGAGCTGGTACGTTAACAGTATTGATTTGAAGTTAAGCTAATTGCATACTTGCATGCACTCACAAAACTGCAAAGTTTTGAGTCATCCATATGCAAGCATAGCCTGGAAAATGCAGCGGGCCTAATCAGGCCTTTGAGTCCTTGTAATCTTCTGTGGCACATTTATACTCAAGTGCCCATCAAATCAAATATCAGTTCCCAATAAATTGAATATCCACAAGGCACATGCGGCAGTGTTTAACTGGAGTGCTCTTTCAGGTGGAGAAATCAAGAATCCAGCCGCTGCATATGTCAAGTAAGCAACCAGCGATGGCTGTTCCAACATCTAATGGTGATCTTGATATTCCAGAATCAGTGGGGCTTTCCGCTCCCCAGCCATTCCTCAAAAGACTTGTTGAGTCTGAGCCGGTGAGGCGCAGTACCAGGAGGCGGCAGTAGTAATGAAACTTGACCTGACGCCTCATGCATGCCATTAAAACGGGGTGCTGTATTTTAAGTGTACTGATTTTGTTGGGTATGTGTAGTTGTTATTACTTGTAACTTTTAGCAGTTTAGGTTTTGATTTTTTGGTTTGTTGTGTTAATTATATGTATCTTGGTTAAAATTTGTAGATTTGGAGAACTGTTGGATTACAGTGTGTTGGGGGCGGCGCTGGGTGCCCTTTTCTCTGTTTCGCATGATCATTTCCCAACCCTTGATATGTGCAGATGTCAGCACGAAGGTTTCAGCGAAGCCATCTTTGGATAACCGAGAGGTGTGTCCGAGTGCAAGGAGCTGAAGGGTTTTTTTTTTTTTTTTGCGAGACAGTTACAGACGTAAACGCTCACATACAAGAACGCATACTTACCTTTATGAGCGCATGCATGCACACCCTATTACGTACATCCTACCTCTACGAGCACCTAGCAGATGCAAACGCTTACATACCCGAACGCGTACTTACACCTTCGAAGATCTCATGGTCGTTATGGTAGGTCGCCCGAAAGGGATATTTAAGGAGTGTTGGAAGAGAATAAGTTCAGGACTCCAGCTCATCCATGGTATGCATTGCTGAATTCTATTCCACTCAAACTATTTCTTCTAACACCAACAAATTTTTAGCTAAGAACGCTTGCTACACAATTCTAGATGTGCCAAAGTTGACCGGCGGTCACTAGACAGTTCGCATATATATTGAAGCATGTGCACATCAAAATGAACTGATGTTTCCTATTTGGAGGTGCCAGCTAGTCCATCCATTCATTTAGAAGACAATTAAATTGGCATTTTCTTCTAAGATTTATTTTTTAAGCTACATACTTGATTAAGTGTTTACAATAAACTAGTAATGCTGTAAAAATACTTGTCATTACTTGTTGACGTCCTAGTACTGTGCAAATGTACACACTGCGTATCGCTGTGTTGCCCTTGTGAGCAGTTAGAACTTCCATCATTTGTACCTATTTTTTTCTTGAATCACGCATGAGGACGGCGTGTCATTTCATTAAAGTAGAAAAAACAAGTACACGGGTTTGGGTGACCCAACCCGAGAACCAGGACACACACTAAGGAGACCAGCACATCAACGCGCCACAAACTAACTAAAAGACGACCATCAACTCCCGGGACTTTAACTCCAGAGGAGAGCGACCTGGATAAAAGCTGTGTGAGCTTGGAGGCCCTGGCCATACACCAAAGACTGCCCTCCGTGCACACAACAATGATAACCTCCTGAACATTCGGCCTTAAGGTCTAGAAGACAATCATTATGATGCTTCCGGACCTCCCAAGCTACCAAGATTATCTAAGTGTTCAAACCCTTTCTGATTTTCTTTGGAGCCACTGCATTAGTTTTCCTCCACCATCCCGAGAAGCGACTCACGGTTGGATCAGGCGCCAGAAACAACAGGCCAAGCTTTTGGAATATCAAGGCCCATACTTAGCAAGTGAATACACATTCAACCAGCAAGTGATGTATGGTTTCCTCAGCCTGATCAGAAAAAGGACAAGCATCTAGATGGGGGAGGCCTCTTTTAGCCAACCTATTGGCTGTCCAGACCCTATTGTGAAATACCAGCCAAATGAAGAATTTACAGCGTGGGGGTGCCCAAGTTTTCGAGATCCCTCGCCATGGTCCAAACTTGATGGTTCCCACGAAGAAGGCTCCATACGCAAATTTGCATTTGTATGTCCCATCATGGGATAACTTCCAAGTGTAGCGGTCCTGCACATCCGGCTGCAAGAGTAAACCATCCACAATATCCCAAATATGTAGGTATTAAATCAGAACCTCTATTGTGCGAGCTCTTTTTGTCACCAACCCATCTTCTGTTCTGGATTGCTTGAGCCACCGTCCGTCACTTGGCTGTTCATTTTCTCACTGTTTTGATCAAATTAAGGACTATTTCAGCCATGGTGTGACCATCCAGCCACCTGTCGGTCCAAAACAGGATCTGTCCCCGTTTCCAACAATGGCATCCACTGCGACATCAAAAAGGGCATGAGCCTTATGAGGTACTGTGATCGGGGAATTTTTTTATTTTTAACACTTTTTGTAAACTAATTTTAAATCTAACACTGTTTTATTTTTTTTTCTAAAACTAACACTTTTGGCCGCGCCTATTGCCATGACGCAGCGAAACGCCTGTGCCGCGCCATGCATGGTGGCGCGTCGGGAGGATGACGTGGCGTCATCGTGGCAGGGTCTGCCGCGCCACCCATCTTGGCGCGCTATGACGTGCCAGCGCTGGTGGCGCGGTAAGGCCCAGTAAAAGCCTGCGACGCCCCCACTGCGCCCGCCCTCGCCCTCGACCCCAGCGCACTCCGCCGCCGCCTGCACCACCGCCATTGACTCCGCCCAGCGCCGCCGCCGCCAGGGGCCACCGCCACTGCCTGGCAGCCGACCGCCAGGCGCCGCCGCCTCGCCAGTGTTGGGGCGCTAGCGCCGCCGGTTGGCGAGGCCGCCAGCGGCCATCTCCTTCGGCTTGGGTGACCCCAAAAGGTCCCCGCTCATATCAAGGTAGCTCCCTCTCTCGATTTCTTGTTATTATGAATGTTATTTTAGTTAGGGTTAGTGATTTAGGATAGTTAGGTTAGTGAATTTGTTTATTTAGGTAGGTAGTTTTTAGGGTTTAGGTTGTGTGTTGTAGTATAGTTAAGGTTTAGTTAGGTAGTTAGGGTTTAGGTTACTGTTAGTTAGGACTTTGGGTTTAGGGATTGATTAGGTATTTATTATTTAGTTAGTTTATAGTAGTAAAGGTTGTTAGTATAGATGCTAGTTTTCAAGTGTCGGTACTTAGTAGTGCGTGTTACGGCGATTTGGATAACTTGATGAAGTTTCGTCAAATGCTTATTTTCCTAGTGAAGTTGTTTAATATGTCTGTTAATGTTACTTTGAATATATATACATGTGCTTTCATATTGTGTTCGTATTGCATAACAAGTAGTTCAAATTTTGCAATGCTACATAATGTTAATTTGAATATTGTTAATTTGAATACTCTAACCCTTTGTTTATCAATTTGTAATAGGATGGCCCCTCCCACGCAACACGAATTGTACCCCCTTCTTGAGGTGGAGTACGACGACCCGCACCGAGCACACTTCTTGACTGACACCGACGCAGAGGTGCCCTTGCCTCCTTTGAGGCCCCGCACGCACACCAAGGCACACTAGTGGGACAAGCGTTATGCGCTGTACATACCGCATGTCGGCTCCTCGAGCTTGTCCGTGTTGTCAACTACGGTCTTCCGCCCCTTGACCTAGCACTACTTACTACAGCTGTAGACAGGTGCGAGTGCCTTCATTGTACGTAAACATTCTTATAACAAATTTAAGGTAACTAACAGTCGTTCTATTCTTATAACAGGTGGAGGCCTGAGACCCACACGTTCCACCTACCTTGCGGCAAGATGACCGTGACCATGCAGGACGTGAAGGCTATCTTTGGCCTTCGGTTGGGGGGACTTCTAGTGACAGGTATAGTTGACAATGATCACTGGAGGGAGCTGGTGGCTCAGTTCACTGGCTTTCTTCCACCTGACGATGAGGTTTTCAAGAAAAATAAGTGAGCAATTCAAGCCTATTTAATACTTGCATTGCTTTCCTGCAGCCATCGGGTCTCATTTTCTTTGGTGAATTTCAGGAAAAGTTCCGGTGTTTCGTCGTCGTGGATTACAGAGCGCTTTGATTACTTGGACCCACAGGCTAATGAGGCTCAGATCGACAGGTTCGCTAGAGTGTGGCTCTGGCACTTCCTTAGTGCTTTTCTATTCCCAGATGCCTCGAGCAACACCATCGACTGGATCTTTCTTGACATACTATGCCAGCCATGGGATAACATAGCAGCGTACAGCTGGGGCAGCGTAGTCCTGGCATGGACGTATCGATAGCTATGCGTTGCCTGCCGTCGCACCTTAGGGTATGCGAACCTTGGGGGTTGCTCCTACCTACTCTAGGTTTGTTGTTAAGAACGATGGCCCGTTGGGAGGCCCCTTGTTACTGGTTTTCCTGTAAGTACTTTGGTTCACTACATTCTTTGAGGCGGTTACATATGATGAAATTATTAATGGCTAATTCATTATCGTGTTTAATGCAGCATTGAAACGGGCAGGATACACTGCCTACAGCTCTGTATATCTGGACGCAAGCAGAGTTAGTTAAAGGGAATGCGAGGCGTAAGTACAGGGAGTACACGGACTATCTCGACGTCCTAACACAGCACCAGGTTACGCTCTTTTTACTATCATACATGTGTCTTGTTTGATGTACACTATATCACAACCTAACTCAATTACGAAATGTTCAGGTGCATTGGTGTCCTTAGGATGCTCCGAAGCTCCAAGACTATCTAAGTCCTGTCACTAGGGATGAGTCAAACGAGTATCGCTGCAATGTCCCTCTTACTTTCTTCCACGTGGTCGAGATTCACTTGCCCATCAGGGTTTGCAGGTAGTTTAGAAGAATGACAGGCTACCCACCACCGCTTTACTCCACCAACCAAGAATTGCACAGGTGCGTTATCGATTAATAACAAAGCTACAATTCAGAGGTGTGTATGGTACAACTAACAATCGTTTTGTTGCAAGTATGACCACAGGAAGAGGTATAAGACCAAGGATTGGCGTGTGACACACAATGCGTACATCCAGTTGTGGCAGACCAGGGACCGGTAGTCGGTCGATGCGGGTCCCCCACACGACTAGCACACCTTCGACGAGTACCTGCGGTGGCTTCACAGGTCTACGATGACACATATCAATCCCCCGTACACTGAGGAGGCGATTGACGAGGATGACGAGGAAGATGTGATCGAAGACGTGTACGACATTGCCACTAGGGACGACACACAACTACAGAGAGCCCCGCTTCAAAGATACGTGGTAAGATACTTGAATGGTGCAATTTTTTATCCATTTGGTATTAAGTATGTGTACTAAAACTATCCAACCGTGTTTCTGTACCCAGACGACACAATTGTCAAGGCTGTCCAACGAAGCAGCGTTTCGGCTTCACGAGTCTAGAGGGTAAGGGCCAGGCATTCTCGAGGCTTTTTGTGGAGGTAAACATAAACTTATCCGTTCTGAAAATGTTTCTTTAGTGTATATGCGTTTGGGAAATGAACTAACTTTATCACTTCCCCGAGCGCCCTCACTCCTAGCCAGCAGCACCACCACCCCCTCGTTGTTCCCCTGAACCCATACCACCCATCCCTGGCCTCGCACATCACCGGGAACTCCGCCGTCGCCGTGCAGCCGCTCGCTGCGGCC